ACTATTACCAAGTTAAGACTCGTAACTATAAGTGAAAATCAAACTTCTTAATAATAATATAAAATGTGACTGGCTGTCATAACGATCACATTTAATAAAAACAATCTTTTGCAATACCAATCTTAATATAATAGTCTCATAAAATGTATAGTAATATACTTTCTTTTGAAATTACATTTTTGTTACGCTTTAAGAAATTTATAAAAAAAAAACTAAGTTTAAATGGCATTTTCTTATCGAAATTTGACAGTGTATTGTTTCGTAAGTTTTAAGGAATTTTATATAAATACTCAGAAATGAATTTTGAAGGAGCAGAGTAAATTCACTCAAGTATCATGAAGACTATTGCAGTTCTCCTGTCCGTCGTCGCAGTCGCTATCGCCTATCCGTCTTGCCCCTGTTCTTTGAGTTTATTGCCAGTATGTGNGTACCGACGCAAACACTTACGACAATCTGTGCATCTTGGGATGCGCCCGTAAAAACGACGCCTCCGTATATGCGCTTTACGAAGGTGCTTGCAAGAAGGATCAGACGCCATAATGCACTACGGAATACGAAGCAATCTGTGGATCTGACGGAATCACCTACAGAAACAAATGCGACTTCGACTTCCACAAGCGCACCAAAGCCTACCTCCACTTCGTCAAACACGGACTATGTTGAATTGTTTATCCCAAATTTAATTTTAATTTTTGTTAATCTACCCATTTTCTTTAAANNTAGTTTAATATTTAAACGTTAAGTTATAAATTTTCTACTAAACAAAATATTTGTAACGAGTATTCATTTGTTAAACGAAAAACTAAATCTTCTTTTCTTTCTTTTATGCGCTTTTTTATGGAACTTTCACCGCTCCCTTACCCAAATGCACCTGTATCACTGTCCTTGATGATTGTATAATCAGTTATAAGTATTAAAGTTAATAACTTTTATTTGTATACAATAAAATGATTGCCAATAAAATAGATGTTACTTTTCTGCGTTAGACAAAAACGTAATGCAGTTAATAATATGGACAGAATATTTACGTAATGTAATTTTAACTTTTATTAATCTACCCATTTTCTTTAAATAAAATACATATACAATATTTAATATTTAAACGTTAAGTTATAAATTTTCTACTAAACAAAATATTTGTAACGAGTATTCATTTGTTAAACGAAAAACTACCTACTTTTCATCGCACAGTAAAAAATTGATCTTTGAAGAAAACTAGAAATAAAATTTTAAAATCTAGATTACAATTAGTCAAGATTACAATGAAACCAATCCAAACCCAGTAAATCCATTTTGTAAAGATAGATTGGAATTAGAGAATTCCTTTTTATGAATGCAAGTATTCATTTTATCCAAGTTATTTTTTTTGTTGTTGAATGGATTTATGTTAAAATTCAGTATAATACATTATAATTATCTTATAAAAGAAGACTACTATCCTTATGACTATTTAAAAATCTTAATAATAAAACAGATTCACAGTGAAAGGAAATAGTGGAATGGCAGAGCATCCATATACTACTGAAGTTAACCTACAAGATTATCCACCGAGAAAGATTATCCATTTAATGACAACCGCGATCTTAACTTTACTCAATGTTTACATTATAGAACAGATTGTGAATAAAATTATACGAGGAAGAAAAAACATCTAGTAATTTAAATTTATGAGTATTGCTAAGAAATTAGAAGTAAAATGCAGAAAGTATTAATGATTTTCTTACAAAATAATTTAATTAATTTATTGAAGGCGGGAAAACGCCTTTTCATCCAAAATGTGTTAATAAAAATTATTTAAATGAATCATGTTAATTCATGTTAAATTGGTCATATTTCTCTTTTGAAACTTCTATTGTAACAGTAATCTTATTATAATAACCATATAAATCATATGTATGAAATGCACTTTCTTTTGAAATTTTAATTTCGTTACGCTTTAATTAAATTTCTTAATCACAGTGTCAACTTTTCCATTACTGAAAACACAAAGTAATTTCCTGTCTGCTATGTATATTGTTATCTAAATTTCGCATTGTTCTATAAGTTTAAAGTAAACATAGCATTTCATATAAATTGTCAAGAAATGCTTTCGGAAGTTCAGAGTTAAATTTACTCAGACATCATGAAGACCATCGCAGTTCTCCTCTCAGTTGTCGCCGCTGCTGCGGCTTTCGAATCCTGCGGCTGTACCTTTGAATACAGGCCAGTCTGTGGATCTGATGGTCTTACCTATGGAAACTTGTGCAGCTTGAAGTGCGAACAGCGTACAGATTCCACCCTGACTTTGGCCTACCATGGAGAATGCAAACCTGTATTCGAAAAGCTGTGCTTCTGCACCGATGATCTCCGTCCAGTTTGCGGAACCGACGCCGTCACTTATGATAACCAGTGCCTGTTGGGTTGCGCTCGTCACACCGACGCCTCCATATATGTGCTGTACGAAGGTGTTTGCAAGAAGGATCAGAAGCCAGTGGCAATATGCACCGACGAATACGTACCAGTCTGCGGATCCGATGGAATCACCTATGGCAACAAATGCGACTTCGATTTAACCAGGCGCACCAACAAAGATCTCTACATCGTCAAATACGGAGAATGTTAAATTATTTATACCAAATATAGTTTTAATCTGAATAAAAGAAAACCTGAAAAAAACGCACTTTTGTTTCAATTCATTTAGAAGTGAAACGTATGTAATATTTAGATAGCATCTATTTTCTAATAAAATTATTTGCAAATATATAATAATAAAAAAAATCTATTTGTAAAATCAAATGAATAATTATGAATAAAAAAATATTGAAAAAAATATGTATTCTATGAACATTTAAACTTGAAATTATTTTTACTTTTCATTATACTTCTAAATGATTGAATCTGTCTGATAATCATTTATAAGTATTAAACTTAATAACAACAATATAAGTTTTTCTTTGTAATAAAATAATATATGCTTTAATAAGTAAAGAATGTTGATGGTTACCAACAAAATCTGAATTTACGTTCAATCGAACATAAATTATAAGTGGAAAACAAATAAGAATTAACGTAACTAACAATACTCGAGCTGCAAAAAAAATCTACAAATAAATGTTATTTACAAATTTTTATTACTCCTAATTTGGGCCAATTGACATCTCAAGTCAATACATTTCATTAATTTAGTTTTTTTTTTAATAAACAGATTTTTCTAACCCCTTTTCGGATTTATCGACCGCCACACATGTTTGTTGGTTTTTGAGGATCGAACCAAAGACCTTTCGTACCGGATATTCGTGATACAGGCGACTATACTAATTTAGATTAAAAATTTTTAAACTAAGAATAAATTGACTTTGATTACTACAATATCAGATGTTTCTTATTAATTCTTATTAATAATCATTTTTTATATTACTATTGTTACAATAATTTAATTATGAAGAGATTTATAATAATCTTATGGAAATATACACTGTTTTACATATTTACATAAAATATCAACTGAATGAGGCAAGTATTACGTTTCCCAAAATTACTTAATCCCAGTGTAAATATAAGAGCACAATAGAAACTAATTGCTTCTTGATTTTTTTACCTTTGAAAGTGTAATCTATAAAAAATGTTGTGTCAACTAAATTTGAATGGCATTTTCTTATCTAAATTTGTCAGTGTTTTGTTTCTTAAGTTTTAAGTAAACATTGTATTTGATATAAATAGTCAGGAATGAATTTTGAAGGAGCAGAGTTAAATTCACTCAAGAAACATCATCATTATTTATATTGTATCTAATATTAACTCAATCCAGTTCATATTAATGTCATCCAAACCTAGTAAAACCATTTTTTTTTTATTTTCTCAGTAAACTAGATTGATTGGAATTAAATTATTCATTTAGAGCAGAGGTTCCCAAACTTTTTTGTGATATTGATATTGATTTTTTTTTGTAAATTTCTAACTGTAGTGAAGTTTAGTGTTAAAAATTTAAAGTAAAAACACATGTTAAATTTTATACATAAATTAAAACTACTCAAAATAAAATTTTGTATCTGTTATATAAAATATACGTAACATAAAATAAACTTTGTTTTAATCAAATTTAGACTGTCGCCTTGTAACTGCAA